AAAAAGCAATTACAATCTGAGGACATTTCCTATTTGCCTCTTTGGCCAGCACCAAGTCAGCCTCATCTGAATCCTTCCATTTCTTGAGAAACATCAATTCTCCACTGCTGTCTGTGGTACCAATGATTCGTTCAGGATCAAGACCTCTGGCAAAGCCTTGGTTTATCAGCAGCGTCTCTTTTCTTCTTAGATTTGCTATTATCCGATTCACTGTCAGATAAAGATTTTCCTTTTGCACCATCTTTTTCTTTACCGTTTTTTTGAGAATTAAGAAATGCTTCAATTAACTCTGGACAATCTAAATTTTCCTCAGGTTCCCAAGTATTACCAGCATCTGTAAATCCCTTCCACTTCAGGAAATGGTCCACCTTCCCATTCGCTACACGTCCATCCAGTACTTTCTCTACCATAAATTCTTCAGGCTCTGCTTCTTCAACGTTTTTACTCTTTCCATTCTGTTCCTTTCCCATTTTTTGCAATGTGGTTTTATTGAAGGCCATTTTTAAAAATTGCAGACTTGAAGAGCCTCGCCTCCGAGATGAAGTCAAGCCACCGATTTCACTGCCGCGATGCTCCCAGCTGTGGCTCCTGCAGCGTATCAATATTTTTATGAAAGGAAGATAGTATTCGAAGAGACCCACGAAAATGATTCCTTCTGATTGGTGTATTTTGATAAGTGTCACAAATTACTGAGAGTAGCCTCCAGAGAGATTGTCTTTAATAATTCATTTTAAACTGAACTTTGTAATGATTTTCTACATGATATGTGAGTCACTTGTTTCCAAGTCTTAGAGTGATTCTTGACTATAGTTTGACTATACAGTAAAGTGGGTGGGATAGATTTAATTCCAGAAACAATAGGAAAGCATATGAAGTGATACTTGAGAGGATAGGAGGATATGTTGTACCTCCTGTTGTGAATAGCCAGCAATAAAACCAGTGTCAGTACTTACTGTCTACATTAGCTTTGTGAAACTATTCTAGGAACACAGAGGAGGAGGCCGTTCACTTTATTCATGGCAAGTGTTAATATGAATAAGAGGTATAGAAAAGCTTTGTAGGTTACTTTGATCCCAGTTAGCCAAGTGTTTCCAACATTCTTGTGTATGTGTGAGTGTGGCATAGAGGGAGGAGTCTAGAGTCAAGACAGCCAGGAAACACTACAGCATAGTCAACTCAGCTCCAAGTCTTACTCTCTCTTCCTCTATCCCAGGAGAAGGCATAGACAGCTACTTCCCCTAGCCAATACCACAGGGCCTCACCTCAGCAGTGACTGCCATTTTGGTGGAGTTACGGCACCAGGAAACAGAAATGATACAACTGTGTTTTATAAAGCTCTCCAGTGTCAGTCCTCTGATCTTTCTTCGTGATTGAGAAAAATAGCTCTAGAAGATGATAATGAGTAGTTTCTTTGGCTCTAAAATTCTGTAATTGTGTATCTCCTTCTGCATAAATATTATAAAGCATGGGGAGTTTTAAGTATAAATATTGTAGTCACAATGAAATGAAGCATCCTTAGTGTGAACGCAGCAGAATTCGAAATAAAGTACAACTTTGCTGTGCCTACTCCATAATATTTCCTCACTACTGAGGGAAAAATTGTTCACTCAACACTATGTGTTCTAGTAGCTGATGTTCCAGCCATTTGGAAGAAAACAAAGGAAGCTACGTATTTACTCCTTTAAAAAAGTATTTATTTATGTGTGTGTGTGTGTGTGTGTGTGTGTGTGTGTGTGTGTGTGTGTGTGTCTGCTCAGAGAGGCCAGAAGAGGGCACAGGATCCCCTGGAGCAGGAGTTCCAGGCAGCTGGGAGGCACCCAGTGTGGGTGCTGAGAACAGAACTCAGATCCTCTGGAAGAGCAGCAAGTGCTCTTAACCACCGAGACATCACTCCAGTTCCAGGTATTTATTCTTTCAGCCAAGAACATAACTGGATGAGATGTAAGGTTCAAAAATGAAATTGGGGCTAGAGAGATGGCTCAGAGGCTAAGAGCACTGACTGCTCTTGCAGAGGACCCCGGTTCGATTCCCAGGACCCACATGGTGGCTATGAACCATCCTTAACTCCAATTTCAGGGGAATCCAAAGCCCTCTTCTGACCTCCGTGGCATTGCATGACACAGGTGCACTCACATACATGCAGGCAATACACTCGTACACTTAAAAAATAATACCTTAACTCCTTTCAGGGGAATCCAAAGCCCTCTTCTGACCTCCGTGGCATTGCATGACACAGGTGCACTCACATACATGCAGGCAATACACTCGTACACTTAAAAAATAATAAAAATAAAATAATGAAATTGGCACATGTATTAAGGTTTTCAGTTATAATCATGATGTAGATTAAACAAAGGCAAAAGTATTTTGGGGAAATGTGGTAGGTAGCTGGGCTGCTGGCTCACCCTAGAAACCGCATAATTTGGGGGGAGTATGGACTAGGAGGATTGACAAGTTTGAGGCCAGCTTGGGCTACATGGTGAGTTGCAGGCCGATCTGGATTATTGACTGGGACCCAGGCTCAAACAGCAACAAAAGACAGAACAAAGGAAAACTGGCAACTTCTGTCACAACGGCAATGGACTTGTTTTCCTGTGAGCAATTCCACTCTAAGAATTAATGATATAGAGGCATGTGATGCATGCAAAGGCTTTTAGACAAGACTGGTTGTTGTTACATTGTTTGTAGCAGGAAGGGATGGCAATGAGCTAAAGGTTTGTTTGCTCGGCTCTATGCAGCATG